AATGACCAATACTGCAAAAGTATTACATTTGGCTGTTTATTCTTTTAGCGCTTTTGGCGAAAAGCAATTACCACTAATTTAGGTACAACGCTAAATGCCTTGTACATATACAAATAAAGAAGAATTTTATAAGATATGCTAAATCAGATTTCCGCTAACTAGATCGTAATTCAATTTCCCCCAAATATCATACAGGCTAAATATAATACATTTACAGTATGTTCATAAATCTGATATTTATGATATTAGACGCTATCTTATAAAAAAAAGTATTCTGGTTACCTCCAGTACAACAAAGAACAGAGATTTTTTTTTAAAAAAATGCATTTTCACTACCTATTAGATACAGACCTACACTACAAACAAAAGAATCCATGATCAATGATAATTATATTCACAGATTTGGAAAAGGTGCCTTTATCATTATGACAATGCACTGAGTAAAAAAAACAATCAAACCAATGATATTATTGCACTTAAAATAGCACAAGAATATACCGTCCTGTGAAACATCAATGCATAGGACATTAGACAACATGTTTTAGAAATTAAAAAAAATCGTAAGAATAATTCTTGCTTCTTCAAAACAATGCATTTTGTGTATCTGCTAATCACAACTAGAGGTACTGTGAGCGATGAGCTCACTAAATGATACCCCCCGCATATAGTTATAATGCAAAGTCCATGTTTTGCTGAGGCTGGGAAACCCAAAATATGTGTCGGATCAAAAAGTGAAATAGGAGGTGCACAATGGCAATATGTAATAAAGATTCTGTGAAAGTTTCATAAAATTTCATTCTGTGGTATGAGAGGAGTTGCGGATAAGAGATGGGTACCCCAAAGCGTAACAGACGGACGGAAGGACAGACGGACGGACGGACAGACGTACAGACGGACGGAATTAACGATTACTATATACCCTCCCGCTTTTCAAGCGGGGGGTATAAAAAAAACAGACAGAAAATTTAATACAATACCTACATTTTGATCGTGTTATCAAGACTAATCTTTACACCCGAATAATTGACCCAGGAACCATGAAACTTTCAATTCTGTAAGAGGCAATCTTGCTCGTCATAACAATTTTCTTAGAGTGTTAGATATCCAATAGTATAAAGAAATCAAGTAAAAAAACTTAGAAAAATATTTAAAAGACACATTGCTTCTTTTCACTAAATAATCAATAGAATCAACCCTCCGATTCTTTAACAAACCCCCCCCCCCCCATCTAAGTGCAAGAAATTCTACAACATACTTGCTGATGACAACCCTGCACAAAGGTAGTTTTAGTTGTACCCAGGAGCAGGGAAGGAGATTTTCAAAGAATTAATGTTTTAATTTTAAAAGATCCTCTCATCTTGAAATTATAAAAATGAAAGATGCCTCATTGATTGATTACAAAATTATGTACTTTTTTCTTTTCTCCTAGGAACAAATTAGCGGATTTTCAAAGATTCAATGAACCATCTTATTGAATAAATAAAGTCCCATCCTAAAACAAGAACCCCTGGCGAAGACGCAGTCAAATTATATATTTAAATAGTTTGTTTACTAAACAGGGACATAGAGAACACTTTTTTAAATTAAGGTCCTTTCACTAAATAATCAACAGAACACACTTAATAATCAATAGAACACTTTTCTTACGCCTCTTTCTTACCTTAAGCCCTGATCTTGTTGGAAAAAAGCTTAATGTTTATTGCAGTTTCATTGCTTAATGTCAAGTGCCAAAAAAGTTTTCTATAGATTACACTTATATTGATGGTTTTAGCCCCAATCTCATCATCTGGGGGTGGCGGAGGGGGAAGGGACTATAAAATTTTGAAGCAATGACAGACAAGCGTGGAAGTCAAAAGATGACCTGGGTGACTCAAGTTACCTCAAATATCATCTTAAATTATCAAAATTAAATTTCTAGTAGAAATTTGGAGAAGGATTTTTGATGAGCATACAATTCGATCTAAAATACAATTTAAAGATTTGTGATTTATTATTTTTTTTTTAACAAAAACCAAACTGGGACAACGGTACACATACATAATTCAAATAAAGTCAAAAAGATTCCTTATGTGAATGCATCACGAATCGAGCTACAAATATTTCTTGTTATTTTTCTTCTTCAGTTGGGTAAATTGTATAAAATAAAAAATTATTAAGTTATGTATTACTTAACCTAACCTGTACAGAATTCTATTTGCAGTGACCAATTATTAAGAGTTCAAAACAAGTACCCAGAGAATCTCATCTTCCAAAACAGTTTGACACTTAATACCATATCTTTCATCTCATGGAATGATAATAATACCTGCAACCCTATACCAGTAATTTGTAGCAATATGGAATGGCGAACCATGTGATTAAAATAAATCAGGTCATTTAAAGCCTTCAGGTCATATATATTTTTTCAAATGATGAGGGTTTTTAAAATTGTACACCTTGATAGAAAGCAAAAATGACCAGTTTTATCCTTTATAAGTTTATACACTGAGTAAAGTATCATCTTAAAATCAATAATTTTTCACCAAAAATCGAACTACAACATTTAAATTTATAATCTTATGAGATATTTTCCAAACAGGTCAAAATTGTATTTTAGTATGACCCGCTGTATTTACACAGGAATCAATGACGTCAGAATCAAAATACACACAATTTTCGCCATATTTGTAATACATCTGCTAGGTAATTTTTGTTTTTCTTTTTTTGTCGGATTTCTATTTCTTTCTATGAAGTTCCCATGTTTTTCATCTCCCATACCTTTCCACGCAGTAATATTTGACATTTTAAAGTAATTTAAAGTAATTTGTCGTCATTTAATTAACGTTTAAGGTATAATTTCCTTATACCCATCATGCTGCATTTTTATCGTGTTTTTACCCAACTAGAAAAATGCTTGTGATAACAATCAGAAAGTAAATCATGATTTTTTCAGAAGGTTGAAGGAACAGGCACATATTTCGTATACTGTTTTCCTACTTATTTTTATTCTATAAGCGTCACAATACGGGGGAGGGGGTGTTATTCCCCTTCTTTTTTGCAAAGATACATATACTGTAGGCATTGGAAACTGGACTTAACCTCAGATCAATTTTGTAGGGTTAGCCCCCTTCCCCTTTTCAATTTGCTTCTGACGCCTATGTACTTGTCATTTTATTTCATACACCAGGAACCCCCTACCTATTTTCATCAAAAGATATAACTCAATACTAGGAAATCTCTATTAAAGGCAGTATATAAATCTATCAATCTATAACCTTCTGCGATAGTTAAGTTTAAGATATAGTTTGCTTCAGACTTATTTTATCTCAAATGTATTGTCCCAGATGTCCTTGGTCAAGCCTCTAACCACCTTTAAATCCTTGAAAATCATATCATAATATCTTAAGACTTTAGAGGGGTTATATCATTTCCGGATATGGTTATAGTGTAGGAAAACCACAAGCTACCAAGATCTTCATTCATATATACTTGCCTTAAGACAGATGACAATATAAAACTTCCTTTACAGGTTTTTCAGCTACTTCTTTTATGTTTTAATTTTATTGATACTAGATTATAAAATGTGTCTCTCTTTCATAAATGAAGTATTTAGCAATTTTTTTTATTGTGAGTATTTAATTCAGGTGTACAAAAGTTTCAAGGAAATAATGTATTACTTAAATCTGAATATACATTAATATAGACTTCGAAGAGGATGAATGATTCAAAGGATCAGCAACCAAAAGATAATTGGCACAGACATGATTCCCTGTCGCTTAACAATAGTCTGGAAGGTAAAGTGTATCAGCCTTGTAATTGTGATATTTGAATTTAAACATATTGTATTGAGTATTTATCATTTTATGACTTAATCATATGAAACAACTAAAAAAATGTTGATATATTAAGGGAATAAAAGAAAAAGACAAAATTCTCTTAGACAAAGTTACCTTTTTTTTTATTTATCTTTAATTTCTTTCCATGTATGTTTCTGTATAAGTTGTGAAATTAGATATATCAGGGATTTTTTTAGAATAACATTTTGCATACGTGTTCATATATATGTACATGTAGCAAGAAACCAAAAACTGGGTTTCAATGTGCATCTCACCATCTAACTTGAGCTTTCTCACTTAAAATGGAAATCTTACCTAAGTTATATGTATAACATTTTTATCTATTTTCTTTTAATTTTAACTATTCTAGCAATTGTAAAAACAGTTTCAATACTTGTAATATGCATCATTGAACAAATCATGCCAATTTATGTGTATAGAATATTGTGATACTTTGATACTTCTTGCACTAAACATATGCTAAAATGTATGGTAGTTTTGGCATAAAGAAATTAAATTATGCAATTATGTTCTTGCATCAAATTTATGTTTTAGTGCTTACTTGTTGAAAATACCATATGGTATAAAAAAAGAAAGTTGGGATTAGTGATATAATTTGCAATATTAGTCAAAATATTCAGTTTTAAGGCTAAAAACTGAATATGTAATTAGTTTTACATAAATTTTCCTCCTTGGGAAGTATGTTGACTAAAGGTGTTGATTTAAAATCTACATTTAAACCTTTATTTTTGAAATAGTCCTTATATATAGTTACAGAAATATTTTTCAAGTTGATATATTTGGGACAAAAGTTCCTAGATTTAAAGAATGTTCAATAAATATAAACTACATACTGCAGTACATACATTTCACTACAAAAAATAATCCTTTATCGATATTGTTTTTTAACTGGATACTGGCTATAGTCCATTGTTTATATAAAATAGGATAGGAAAATTGGATTGTTTAAAAGTTATATATTCTGACCAAGGTTTTCTTAAAAGCTGACGAGTGACATACTGAACAAAACATTGAATGTTGGAATTTGCAGAAGATGGTGCAGAACCTATGGAAATTGACTATCAGGAAAGTGGTTATCCAATAATGAAAGATACTTGGACTAGGTTGAATGATTCAAAGGCCAAGCAGCAACCCACTATTAATGGTGACAAACATGATCCTGTGATGCTTATCAATGGTCGGGAATTTGGAATGCGCCAGCTTTTTAATGGTAATATTTTAATTCAAACAAACTGCATTAAGTATTGAAATAGTTTTTGACTCAGTTATTTGAAACAGCAATACAAATTTAATTAAAAATAAAATGCATATTAAAGCATAATAATAGAATGAGACGGGATTATTTTGGTCGGCCGGATATGCTTAGAGTCACTCACTTTTTCCAATGTTACTTAAAACATTAGAATTGTTGCATTTGCAGAAGTTGGTGCAGAATCTATGAATACTGATCATCATGAAGGCAGTTTGGTTTCAGTGAAGAAAGCCAAGGACTTAAACAAATTGTCCGAAAAATATGGTATTTGGAAGCTTTTTCATTCAAAATCTGTTTTTGAAAAAATTTTATAGAACAAAATAGGTTTGAAAAGAAAGATTAGTATTTATAGGAAATTCTGTAGCAAAGTTAGCTGTAAGAAACACCAGAATTCTTTTATTTACAGGTAAAGGTGTTACACCCATGGACGTTGACAACCAGGAAAATGAATCTATGTTCCAAAGAAGTAGTTTTTATTTATTTATCAGAAAAAAAAATAATAATTTGAATTTCTGAAATGACCATTAATAATTTTTTTTGTCATTTTTAAAGACTTTTACTTTTTAGAAGGAAACACAAATACATGTATGAATAAAGAGAAAAAAATGGAGATGATTCAAACAGGCAAACGAACAACGTTTGAGAAGGGGTAACACTTTTTTAAATTTCGGGAAAGAGCTTCCCAAACTATTCATGATCGATGTTTTCAGAGGTAGAATACTGTGAAATTACGAATTTTTGCGGGGGTTGAATTTTCGTTGTTTTCGAGGCATGGAGAGACCCACAATTTGATGTCCATCACGATATGTAAACTGTCAAATAAATAACTACTCAACAATTCTTCATCCACTAATTAAAATCCCCAGAAACCAAGAGTTTTTACTCAAACCATGAAAACCTGACCCCACGAAAATATGTGATTTTACAGTAGCTTAATTGCAAGTAATCAGGCAAAAAGTTGAATTCAGTCGAATTTATTCTTGAAGAAAGACCCACTTTTCCAAGGATTTATAGCAATGCTGTAATCTGAGTAAACTTTATAAATATCTGCTCCAAATCGTATATTTCGTTATAATGAGGGTTCCAAATAGCAATTTTTTTTTTAAATATAGTTTTTATTTGATAAAATTTGTATCAAAATGCAACCTTTATAGTCAAACACTTTGTTCCAATCTGATCAAAATTAACAATTACATGTGATCAAGCGATATAAAAATATTAAGCCTTTTTTCTTTGAATTGATTTCGATTAGTGGTCCTTTGAGCTAGTGGGTCATATTTTTTTTTACCTTTTTCTCCCTTCCAGTGCTTGCAAAAAAGTAACTTACTAGTTAAAGGCATTTCATGAAAAAAAAAGTTTGATCTTATTTAAGCTATGTTTACAGAAAAGTGGTGGATGGAAATACTCAAGCGCTTAAAGATTTGTTAAAAGACCAGGAAAATTTAAAGGAAGGCACGACAGGGGTCATCATTAAGGTATATATTATCAGAAAAATGAAACCCGAATAGAACGACCTCATAAGATAGGGTAGATTTTATTTTTTTCATGTAATATTCCTAGTGGTAAGATGAGGCCACAATAGGGACTTTAATCTAAAATAAAAGAAACGACATTCATAATCGTTGTTCTTAATTTCTATGTGTGCAAATTTTTCCAATGAGGTAAAAATGTATACGACATGTACAAATTAACATTCAAAATTTTAATATTTTATAACATGTAGTAAATCTAAATTTGAGCACAAGCAACTAATACCAGTATCTGGCAAAGAAGTCATAATTATCTCAAACAAGATTGATAAAATTCATATACTCATAAAACTCATATAAACTTTGCATCGGATATTTAAGAAATTTTTAATGGGCAACGAAAACAGATAATTACGCATCCAAACAAGCTTACAGTGTTTTTGTTTGCAATCCATCTAAATCCCCGATATTCCAGATACAATTTTAAGTATAGTTATTAGTACATTGGTTTTACTTATTAGTACATTAGTTTTACTTATAATAGTAAAATCTAGTATGTTTTGCATAATAAACATATGAGAAGTTAAGATAAATATCAGGTATGCATTATTAGTTAGGTCTGTTTATTGGAAGAATCTGAAGAGAGGGGTCGGACAAAATTGAACATGCAACGTTTTCTACAGAAAAAAAAATCTTAACGAATATTTATAAAAAAAAACCCCAGCATTTATTGGTTACATTTTTATAGAAGTATCCTAAATATGTGAAGATTTAATGAACAAGGTTCACTTTGGACCTTTTGACTCAAAATATATTCATACTTCTCAGTTTAAGATGAATATTAGACAATTTGGTCCTTTACTAAATGATTGGAAATCAGATAATTTTTTGTACTGCAGATAAAACTCTTTCTTTATAAAAATCCAATAATTACTAAAAATGTTTATAAATAATCATAAATTCTTTGTTGCACTTTTTTTGCAGGAATTAAAGAGTTCTGACATGGGAAATTTTGTTGAAAAAGAGACATTGGGAGAAGGTTCTTATGGTGCAGTGGTTCGATATAAAAATTTAGCCAATAATAAACAGCTTGCCATGAAAAAGGTACAATTTCTCAATATGTTTCGAAGATGGATTGTAAATGTAAATTCACATTAAGAAGTTTTTTTCATAATCTTGGAAGTGATCTTTAGATACTTGATTTGAAGGTTCATGTTAGTACTTCTTAATTATGAGATATTGTTTTTGTCTATTCGTCTTTCTTTTTTTTTTACTTTCTTAAAAAAGGCCTCCAAGTTAAAGTTTATCAATTGTGAAAATTTCCCACAAAAACATCTACTTTTTATTTGCCTCCAATACATGACTTAGAAATCGTTAAACTTTACCTAGATTTTTTTGTGATAAATATTATTAAAAAAACGCTCAATGAACTTACATTAATGATTTCAAGTTGAAAGTTAAGTTGTAGGTCATTCAGTGATGTATATCTTGCATTCTATTTCTGTCTAGTTATGCATTGTTTGCCTTGTCTGTCATAAACTTGTTAACATTTAAAGGATCAACCCTTTAAACTGATTAACAAATTTAAACTAAATTTTTGTGAAGGAATCAAAGCGTTTTTGATTTTTTCAAATTTCTTAAGATGCTTCATATGAATAAAAATAATTTGATTTGTACATGATCTATACAAAGTAGGCCCTATGTACGGTAAGTATTGTTAGTTAATGTGTCTTATGAGTAGATTTAAGAAAATAAGTTCGCTGATGGGAAAAAAATTATAATCTGAAGAACAACAGATTGGTCGGGCGACCATTATGGCCCATGTACCTTTTATTCCTGGATGTTTTAACTCTTAAAAAAGGTTGCTTTAAATAATTATCACTTGCAAAACTTCGTGAAACTACATGTAGCTGTGTTTTTAAAAGATGGTACATTTTAGGTACGCAAGAACTTTACTGTGGGGGAAGTTTTGATGTTGGCAAGTCTCGAACATAAGAACATCATTACCGTATACGGGTATATCAAAACAGACGGCATCTCTAATATCTTAATGGAATTTGCAGGTGAGAATTTTATAATGAGAAAATTTCAATATAGGAAAGCAATAATTATTTCATTTTTTTAAAGATCTATTTATTAGTCAATGGTAGGCGTACTCAGTGCAATCTAAAGATCAGATGTTGAAATTTAACTTCTATGTACATTTACTAGTTGTTAGTTGACCTAGAATGTATGAACACTGATGAAAGATTACACATAATCAGTATATTTTTACTGTTAGATCACTTATATTTAAGGGGTTAATTTTTTGCAATTTGAAAAAAAATGATTTGTTGGGATTTTATTTGTAAATATTTAGATGTTTCTTCAAGTGTAGTCTACATATTTCCAAAAATTACATTTTCTTGAACATGAAATTGTTGGATTCTTCATACCATAAAATGGACAAAAATTAAAGCCCCTACCACAAAAAGTAACTTTCCAGTAATTCTTCAGTGCATTGGGTGATAGATACAGATATCATAAAAGTTTTCAAGATATGAAAATCTGGATCTAACAGCAAATGAATCTTAACACATAGGCTAATCAGCAGACATTAACTGTTTTTTAAACCCATCAGACCTGCTCAAACAAAAGACCAAAAATACAAAAACTCTGCGCTGGACAAATGACCAGGGGATTAATTTACATATATAACATTCAAGTTCAGATGGTATTTGAAGGCTTTTTGACATAGAAGTAACAACAGCACACAAGTTTCTTTAATAGGAGGTTGACGATGAAGGAGAATTTGTGTCTATTTGGTTCTAAGAATATTGTCATGTGATGACAGAGAAAAAACATTTGATTGTTACAGGTCTTTTCAAAGAGAGAAAAATTTTTTACACCTGAAGAAACTTTTAAATTAATAAACCTATCCTTCATTGGGAATTACAATTATAGTCAACGAAAATATGTTCTCTGCCGCTAGGGTACAACACTCTCACTTTTCCTTTCGACAACTATTTTTAAAAAAGAGTAAAACACACCCATCCATAACAGTATGAAATATAGAAAACAATTCTGTTCTAGCTGCTATAACCTGTTAACATTCATCTCAATCTCTGCAATGATAATGGTTATTGGGTAACGGTTTACGTGTTAAGCAGACTTGGTTCTTTTGATCATTGGTGAGAAGGCATTAATTGTGCATTTTTAAAAAATCAATTTTTTAAGGGAAAATATTTTAAGGAAGGGGGTTAATAAAAAGATAAAATAAAAGAAACAAATATAATTTAGTTTAAAGAAAATGCTTACTATTTACTTGTATAATTTATTCATATTTTAACATATGTACTTATCATATAAAACCTCTTAATCTTAAAGGCTTTTGAAATCTATTTAATACTGTGGTTCATGACATAATAATTATTCAAAGGCTTGTACATTTGTTTAGGAATTAACCTGGAGAACTTCGTTTTGAATGTAAATATGGTGGAGGAGGAATTGTTATGGAGCATAATCAGACAAGCTCTCTTTGCCCTTGAATACCTTGACCAAAAGGAGATTAAGCACTTTGATCTGAAACGTAATGATTTATACATAAATTCCTATAGTTATTTAATACAATGTATTGAATGAAACACACTTTTTCCATTAAAAATGAGTTTATATGCAACAGTTTATAACTGTGAAGTTTTTATTTGTGCGTAGCTGCCAATATATGTGTCACAGACAGCATCGTGGTAAAGCTGACCGACTTTGGATCTGCCAGAAAAGGCATGCCGGAATCTGGCTCTCTTGTATGCACTCATGAGTACATGGCCCCTGAAATGTGCGTTTTTGTCAAACCTCATGCCAGCGTGAAGAAGACGGACATGCCACTGACTGGGAAATCAGACGTGTTTGCGTTAGGTCTAGTGATACAATATATCCTTGATAGAGAACACACTCAACTGAAATTTTATGGCCAATTCTTCAGGAATATGGAACAGCTGAGGGAAAAAATTATTTTTTACGTACGTAACTTTTTTATTGTGTTAAATAGCAAAAATTTATAAAAACACTTAACTTTCAAATGCATTTCTTTTGTCATAAAGCAGCAGGGTTTCCTCCATCAGCTTACAATAACATTATACTTAAAGGGCAGTTAAGCTCTTTGGGCCTCTTGTGTGTTTGTATTCTAAATTTTGACTTTCATCCTTATTATTCAGTGCAGGTAAAGATAACTCAAAGAATTCTCTATGAATGACCATATTTAATTTTTGACTGTAAATTCGGATTACTTCATAGAATGCAATGAACCCTGATATGGTATTGACAAAAATGATAACGGAAAATGGGAATGATGCCATACGAAAACTTCTTAAAAAGCTTCTACAGGGATGGCCACAAAATAGACCCACTGCTGCACAGGCCCTATGCATGGTCTAAGGTACAATGATATCATTAAACATTATCATAAATTATTTACAACTTTTATATATGAAGCTGAATCATATAGTCCGTGTTGCATCATTATGATACACCATTCATTGAAGAACTGCATGTGTCTTTATTTCATTTTCTTATTTGACGCCATTGAAGCTCTTTTCAGACTTAAGATTTGAAAATTCTCTTTTCATGAAAAGAATGGGCTTCAATTATGATATTTATGTGTAGGTATATGGGGTTGGGATGTGGGTAAAATGGGGACACTGTTCGCAAAAGCAGCTGCTTGGGCCAAAGTGTCTAAGGTTAGTGATACGACTCATAGGATTCTTGTATGTCTTTTATCACAAATAATTATTTCTTTTCAGATTTCAAGCTGGGACCAATGGCTAAGAAGCTGTATGACATTAATCCATAGTTATTTGCCAGAAAACTAATAAATCTGATATATAATTTGAATGAGTGTTTGTTGGTAATCACCGGGAGGGTGGATGATCCTATAAGAAATAAGAATGCTGTATATTGCGAAATTTTCGACCCCGTTTCATTTGAAAAAATCGCTTTTTTCGTCCTTGTCACAAGTCGGCGAATTTAAAACGGGGCTAGTTTAAAGAAATATATATGAATTCTTAAACAGAAATGTGACTGGAAAATTTAAAATGGGACAAAATTGTCAGCAAGTGTGAAGGGGCAAAAATAACGCTGTATACATTTATATTAGAGTATACATAATATAATGAAATTATGTAGAAATTATTCTGCTGGCATGTCCTATGATGCAATTATATACATATCAGGTTTAAACTGGTAACGGATAGTATTCAGTAAATGCCAGATTGGTTCGTATTTTACTCGATCTTGAAAAAGAAAAAAAAATCATCGTTATTTTGATTTTAATAATGCTCGAATTGTCTATAAGATTTTGGGTATATTTTTTTGTAATCTGGTCTTTCTGTCCTTTTGATCACACTTTCTTCCCCTCTTGTATCTTAAGCAGTACTGATTATTTTGGACTTTGATTGATTGTGTACTGAAGAAGTGCAGTAAGATAGTGGAAGTTTAAACTTTACCCTGGGACCAGGCGCGGCTCCAAGTCCAAGTTCATTTATTCACTTTAAACTATTCAAATGAGGACAATGAAGCATATATACTGTATATGAATTCAGGTAAGAGGTGCAATTCAAGTATATATGATATACTTTATAAGAAATCGGAGAAAAGGTGAAGATAGAAAAACACATATGATACATGTACATGTAATAATGAAAATTGTTATACCCTTATAAATAGATTTCTGAAAGAGAAATGCTGGTGTCCTCTATATGAGCAATAATTAGGTTTCATTTACATTTTCACTGGGGTTAAATGAGGGTTAAATTTGAAAGATTTTGTTAATTTGTGCCAGTGTTTTCATCATAAAAATGTATTTCTTGTGAAAAGACCTTTTCTTGGGTACGAACAATTTTTGATACTTGAAAAGGTAATATACTTAAGCATTAGTTTTGATATTTAAGTAGGAGGGATTTCCTATTTTAAAATTATACATACAGATCAGACCTAGCTTGTGGAAATCACCAATTTTAACCGTGACCTTGAGTTTGACGTAATTTTGAAAAGCTTAGTTGGAGTATTTCATGCGAAACGTTCTTGCCTTTGATATCAAAAACCAGCACATGGCATTTTGTCTTAATTTAATATGAAAATATAAATATTAATGAAATGCTATATATCAATTATGGATATATTTAGGAACCGCAATTCGTGCCAATTGAAATTTTCACAAGTTCTTCATTAGAAACTGAAAAAAAAAACAAGACTAATTTTGACTTTTTAAAACATTTTCAGCAAGTTTAAAAATAATGCAGTTATCTTCGAAATAATAAACGATTCAAAGGATTACGATCGAATCGCTGGATTTCGTGGACGTTTATTATTTTCTTTTTTTATTTTCTTTTTTTTTTATTTGTTGAAACCTTTCATTCACGAATAAAAGTCCATTATGAATATATAAACAATTACATTGTATAATTTAACTGTGTCTTTGAAGGTAAATGAGAATACACGAAGTTGAGTTATTACAAACCTATTAAATTTTAGCAATCCATGAAAATTTGCTCCAGGAATATAAATGATTCTATGGTAATTCTATGAAGAAGACATAATTTGAAAATGGATTAAATGTATCAAATCAATGTTAGATCGCGTATAAACGATTGAGGGACAAGATGAAAACCATCTACTGTTAACCATAGTATTTTTGTTAGGGATCCTTTTGCATTCAATAAGCCAGAAGTGAAGAAAAAGTTAGATAAATTAATTGATCAGTACTTACTGGTCCCTGCTGACAAAATTGATAACAACATTGTCTTCGTTTGAAAGACCCCTTATATAAATAGTACATAAGAAGAACTTGGATATAATTCTACAAGTAGTAATCCAAATTATAATCATAGTTCTCTTTCTAAGGAAGAAATTCTTGAAAAAAATATATATGTGTTTTGAATATTTTTAATATGCCGGAGAAACAAAATGAATTTGAACTACCACGCATATATTGGATTCCGAAGCTTTATAAGAATCCTTACAAACAAAGGTACATTGCCAGTTCAAGAAAATGTTCAACCAAGCCTCTTTCGTTAAGTCCGTACAATGTACTAAGATATTGACAGTAGTGGAGGCCAACCTGTAAGAGTAATGTGCAAAGATATATTCAAGAAGTGGTGTAAATCAGATGTGGATACTCAAAAATTCCAAGGAACTTTTGGACAATTTGAAATCACAAGATTTTACCAAAGTAAATATCTAAAAAAAAAAAATTACGACTTTTCAACTTTATACACAACTATTCCCCACAATAAATTTAGGTCCAGGGTTTCTGAAATCATTGACAGGTCTTTTTTCGATGTAAATGAATTTCGAAAATTGACTTGCCTGGTCATTGGTCATTTGCAAAATTATTTTGTTAAAACACATTCTATGTAGATTTTGGAGACCAGGTCTTCCAATAATATATTGGAATCCTAATGGATACCAATGGCTCTCCCTTGTTAGCAGACCTATTTTTATATTTTTAGGTAATATTACGGAATTAGTACTTGATCCAGCCCCATTATCTTTTTTTTTTATAGAAAGCTAGATATGACCAATTGTTTTTTTTATGATGTCTAGTATAGACACAAATGTATGATTTATGAAGTCTCACATATCCAAAATTAAGTTAAAATTTCGGTAAAAATATAGTTACGAAGTTAAGGTTACGGAAGTTAATTATTCAACTTTTACAACAAAAGTTAAAATTCTCTGCAATAGTTAAAATCAAAGCTTGTTTTATGATATTAAACAAAAGTATGAAGAATTTCGCTCCCCAAAGAATGAAAAAAATTATTCTGTCATGCAAAATCCTTCCTGAATTACCATTTCGGAGGTAAATGTTTTTCTTCGGTTTAATCTGCTATATCTAAAAAGGCATTGTCTTAAAAATAAATAACTGACTCGCAACTAGTATTAATGAAATAAGGTTTTTTTTGTAAATTTCAGTTCTTTTTGAAACATGCAAATAATCTTTCCGTCAAATTTAGAGCAAACTCAGTACTGAAGTTAATTAATTTTTAGTGATATGCTATGATTACTTATGAAAGAAGATCCATGCATTTCTTTTTCGAGAAGTGGTTTAATTTCATTTATTTATTAAAGATAAAAAACTTTAACATCCATTACAGTTTGTTAGGAACGCTTTTACGGCTGAGAATCCCGTCTTGAAATTTGTATATAAACTAGAGCAAAGCTCGTTGCAAAGCAACGAGTAGGTCTTCCGTCCTGTTTGACCGGGAGTAACGTTTATTTAAAAAAAGAGAGAGAAATGGCGTCTCTAATGATTAAAATCTTCCAAATCTATGTTGAAAATAGCAAAAGTAAGATATTTTTTGCTACTTCCGGTTTGCTGATAGTGACGTCGACGGACGGAACATTAAGTTTCATGCTTCCAGTGACAAATATTTCCCCAAAGCATGTCGGAAACGGCTAAAATATGCAGTTTCGGACTACTTCCGGTTGGCCGGAAGTGACGTCACAGGACGTTTTTTGATGACATAATTAGATTTTACCAGAGATTTTCAACAACTTTGCTTCTTAGATGTATAACAAATTCTCAATACTTTTTGAGGTATCTTGAAAAATTTTTTGGCCCCTCTAGATCCCTTAATTTAGGGGTCAGCCCTTTTTCCGAGATTTCATTTGAAAGATCTTGTAATTCTGCACAAATTATGTTCTGTGTATTTTAACAAAATGTTTTTAGTTTAGAAGATAAAAAGCAAAATATGAGTAATTTTTGGCTCTTTTAAGCGTTCTAATTTTTGACCCCTATATAGCGCCATATTGAATAAAGAAATCGAAAAAAAAAAACGATGTGCACAACTTCAATCCTTCTATAATCTAAAATCAGTAGAAATTTTGCTCCAGCTTTAGCCGTCTCTGAGCCTTTGTCTGGAAAATATAAATTTTCGTTTAAAGGGAAATAACTCAAAACCGGAAGTGACTTTTTGAAATTTTGGACATTATTTTCATAGAGTTTAGTAACTTCTAGTAACTCTGAAAAATTGAGCGAAATCAATTGAGAAATGAGTGAGATATGAGGCTTCAAAGTTGGCGTCTAGGAAGTAGAAGAAAAAAAAAGAATAATAATCTTTGCCAACAGAATCAGTTGAAGGTCTTCCGTTGGAAACGGAAGACCTCAATGAAGCGACATTAAGATTTGCATTGGAATACGTTTTCAGCATTAGGCATTCATGATGTTCATATCTAAACTTTAACTACATATATATCTTAGAGCTGAATTCGATCTTAAAATTTATACTTAAGATATTATAAGGGCAAATCTGTAAGTGACATGAAAAAAAAATTATAATTGTCCATGCTTGTTTTTTTTTTTTAAGAATGGCTGTTCCGTGCTATGTCTCTCCCTTTGTCTCTCCCTTTGTATATAACAACCATGGTAACAGAAAGGG